CATGTGCTATATTGGAGTTTGTTACAACCTAGTTCCTTGTTACTAAGACAGGAGACAAAAATATGGGAAAAAACCACCCTAAACCCAGCAAAACTAGAAACAGCTTTTCCTCTTCGCTGGCCATACCTCAAACGTATTTTACTTTGGCCAAATGTTTCACGACCAACACTGCAGCGACAGACACTAAGGATGAAGTGGGATGAATGAGCCACACTCGGTCACTTGTAGGGCTGCAGAACTAGAACTCACTGTCAAGACGGGGTTTTCTGACCCTAAGTGGTGGCACTGCAATCTGCTTCGGTCGGTATCAAGCAATACCCACCATTAGCTGGCTGGTCTGAGCGTGCTCAGGCTATTCATGTGTCACGTAATGCTGGTGCTCATTCATGACTCTAGGGAACCCAGAACTACCTCTCTTTTTTGTTTGGCAAGTGGGCATCCTGAGACATGGCTTTTCAACACTGTCTCATCTTTGAAAGGCAATAACGTATTTTTCTCTTGGCTGACAAAGAATTAGAGCTGTAGCTCCGAGGACCATCAGCATTACTGAGCCCTCGCTTAGAAAAGCTCGCCCCAGGATACTCACACTTTGTCATCTTGAAACACAACTCTGCCTTTACCCCACACCTCCGTTACCCTTAAGAGTGATGTTATTCTTGCTAACAAATACCATGGCCCTTTAACAAAAAGACAGACTGCGCTATTTTAAGATGTTACACGTTATTCTTTAATAATCAAGATCCAGCCACTGAGTTTTCCAGAGCAAAATGTTATGCTACAAAACCCAAGTTTTACATGCAGTGAATTTCCATTACTGACAACTGTTGGATTATTTTTGACAAGCTGTACTTTTGTACTTTCCCCAGACGCTATCAGATGGTAAAAATTCACTGCCCAAATATCAGCCGAAATTAATTCTGTGACTAAAAAACAAAACAGAACAACAAACCCCATAACGATCCTTCTGCAACAAACAGGCAAATTGAAATGTCTCTACGATTCAGTGATTTGCTTGAACAGTGTCTGCCTTCACTCTACCTTCCCTCTGCCTTCAGCTACAGACGGAAAATTTAGAAATTTTCACCAGGACCAGGCAGTGGCATGGAAGAACAGGCGCAGAGCTGCAGCACGTGGGATCGTTGTGCACTGAGTACAGTATCTCCCAGAGCCATGTGGTGGATCCTTTGCAATCAACAGAAAGCCTAAGTTGGTGCATTCCCCACTAAAATATAAAAAACCCCCTCAAAATGTGTGTCTGTAGCATACACTGAAATATTAAGAATAGAGACGGGAGAACAGTGGGAGCGGTACAGGGTTCAGCATAGAGGCAGCCTCATGTGACATAAATACTGACATAAATCAATTGACTGTTAAAAGAAAGTAGTATCTGCCCAAATTAAAAAGGAGGTTAACAAAGTCTGGTCATGAAAACCACAGATTAATCATTTATTCACAAACAGGCAGTAACTCCCACCACTCCCACCTGTGATTTCTGACAGTTCACTAATTGGAAAACCTTAAGAATTCTCTTGTATTTAACTTCTGGTTTTAATATCCAAAATACAGACTTTGTGGATCTATATTCGAATTCCCTAATCGCTCATTTTTCTCATGGGAAAAAGGGTGCACGGAGTGATTAACACGCGCTTTTATAGCTTGTCGGCGTTCGCTGAGGCTGTCTGCTGTAGGGACCTGCACCTCCTCCCCCCAGCAGCTCCCGCTGCAACCTTGACTCCGGTAAGCAGCTAACGACGCCACGGGGAAGCAACGCTTTCACGTGCTCTGCAGACACCACCTACAGCGCCATTCACCTTTTACAACACACTGTAATTTTTAGAAATTCCGTTTTGTAATTTAAAATAGAAGTAAAATAAAAATAAAACTTCTCTTTAAACTAAGATGTTTGCTTTTAAGAAGACCCATAGGAGGAAGCACTGAATGGCCTGACTCATTGGCCTAGTTACTAACACCATAAAGGTGACACTAAGCTATAAAGCTGCGAGGTGGCAGTGACAATATCTGAGGCACTAACAGGTTCATCCAACACTGGTGGTGTCTTTCCAAGGAGAGAGTTGCCATGTGAACAGCCAAATCAGCTGTGCTGTAGCACCAGAAATCACAACCGGATGGATTTAGGGCGCTGCACTACCACCACCCACACAATGTTTTATCGAGATAAAGGGTTTATTGGCCATTGCTCTTTTTGGCAATTTTTGTGTTTGTGCAAGCACTATTGTGTGGACAGATCAGCACAGCAGTGCTTGAAGCGCATTTAAACAGTCAAAACGATTACAAGGTCTAAGATGTAGAAAAATCAAATTCCAAAGCAGGTATCACTATCTTTCACTAGTTTCTTCCATCACAACAACTGGGAAGAAAAATCAGGAGGACTTTTGCATCAAGATATATTGCAGCAATTAGGTAGAATTTTACCAGCCAATGCAACGTGGTAAATAATTCTAGTAACATACCACTAGCTTGCCAAATGACAACAGGAACGCGAGAGCATTCATATTGCTTTCTTCCACCGATCAATGGAATTAGCTTTAGTACCCTTATATCTAATTATTGCTTTTCACAATCAATGGCTACTTCATTAGATAGCATGGAAATGAAGACTAGATCAAAGACTTCAAAAAAACTGTATATAACTATATCTAGAAATCGTTAATATTAGACATGCATTATCACCCTCATTACCATAGTATTAGTATTCATTCAGTATATTTTGCATGACAACTGCAAAATTTACAGATTTATTTTTTGATTAATTATTTCTTTACCAGCCAAGGTTGATAGTTGCAATGAAGAAAAATATAGCGTATCTATGGAAATCTGCACCAATGGATGCCGTTTCCTGTTGTTTTCCGACCGGGCAAACATAGTGAAATTGAATCTAAACTTGTCTGATACAAAGGAGAAACACACATCGTGTTTTCTTAAGTGAGGTGTAAGCCTACACATTGAGTAACAGAAACAAGATCGACTCTTAGTCCTAGTTTCAGGTGTTTGGTTTAATAGAAGTCTCTCCACAGGCTCGGTCTCTCCCTATTTACTGCCCTTCCAGCATTTCAGTGCTGTCCCAACCACATCTGCGTCACTGGATCAAGAGCAGAAAATGCAGATCTTCCATCGCTCTAATGTGTTCCCACTGGTGAGCAGCATAGCTCTCAGAACTACCAAATCATGGAAATTAGGGCTGGAGCGCAGTCCCCTAATTCAGCTTCTCCTTCTCCACCTCAGTTCAAGTAAGGGTCAATTAAATCTGTTAATCTTGGTAAATATTTGCCTAGTCTGTGACTCGGGTACCGCAATATAAATGTAATGTATCATTACCCCACTGGCACTCCGGTAAAAATTACATTTGAAGAGCCGGATTCAAGCAGAGTAGAGATTATTTGATTTACCTCATCTGAGTATCCTACCTCTGCATTACTTTATTCTTAAATTCACTGATTGAGTATTCAGCGCTTGGTTCATAGTATTTTAGCCACAAGGCTGACACACAGCAAAAAAAATTTGAAAATTCACTGATTAAATAGCTTCAGCTCTTCCTTTGTTAGGTGTCAGTACAAAACGTGTCTTCTCACTGCTGACATTATAATGTACCAGGAAACTATCTGCACCGCCCGAAACCAAAGGTGTGGGCTTGCTCTGAATCACAGCGCTGCCAAAAAGCCGAAGCGAACATTAAAAAGTGCATAAATTACATAACGCTCAGAGATTTGGTCATGTAATACCCTTCTTTTTTTTTTTCCCTCTCTCGCTGACCTGGCTTAGACTAGTAGTGACTGAAAAGTTGTTGGTATCTGGTGGCTAATACAGGCTCTCTGTCATACTCCCGTTGGGGAAGCGTCTGTATGCCAGAAGCATTATTCAAAATTACACCTTGTTCCTTCCCATGTAATTACCCCGCCGTAAGCAGCGCAACAGCTGTCAGCCCTACGAACACGTGGGCCAAAGTGCTTCGGGAAACGTACCTCCCATCTGGGCAGCGGAACACCTTAACCTCAGCAGGGCTGCTGGAGGGACACCCCTAGAAACTTGAAGGGGTCTGAGACACAGAGCCTTTCAATCTGCTTTACTGCCGCCCTCCTTCCCAAGGATGAGTTTAAACACTCTCTCATTAGGTCTCTGTATTACAGATCAATTTTCCAGACATTTTAACCTGTGTTTCACACCTACAAGAAACCTTTTCCCATACGTCTGCACCAAACGACTGTTTAGAGCATGTTAAATGAAACATATAGAGAGACATCTGTGCATTAATCCACGGGTTGGATCTTTACATGCCTGGCTTTACCAAACGTTACCCTTTGCTTTGCTCCCTGTCAGGGCAGCACAGTCCGACTGACCTCGTCCCGTCTATTCCCCAGCATCTCCCAACCAGCAGCTGCTGGCTACTCTCTCCCACTCTTCCTCTGGAGAGGATTTTGCATCGTTAATTATCCTTTTCACCTCTATGCTCTAACTCGGAGAACTTTTTAACTTTTGGTAAGGGATTGCCCAAAGCATCCCCTCAGCAGTCCAGCCATTGTTCCCCTGAAGCTGTTTACCGAGATCTCTCGTCTCTGACCATTGTTTAGTTTCCTGTTTGCTCTTCCCAACAGCTCCTTTGAATTCAATCCCCTTTACTCAGGAAGAATAATGTGAAACAGATAAAGTGGAATACAATCACACACACACACAAAAGGAGTAATCTTTTCTCTCCATAAAGGTTCATCAGGTCTAAATTCACATACGTGAATTACGTTGCATTTAGAGAAGTAACAAGTAGAAGGTGAGACGCAGAAGGGAAGTTGGGTACACGAACCCCTCATCGCGCGGTGCTTCGGAGGTAACTACTCTGCAAGCTATCAATGAACTGGACACCCAGGTAGGTGCAAAGATAAAAGCCTGATCAGGCCTTTTCCCCAGACTGGAAGATGTACAACCCCTAGACAGAAGCCATTCTTAACTAAAAGGATCAAATCAAATTTTGCAAAAGCCATCATACTTACACTGTCATTGCTTCCTTTGTTGTCCTCGTATTTTGTCTCTATATGAATGGAGAATTTAGGCAAAAATGAACACTGCAACAAAAGAAAAACACGTTTGACATCAAAAAATATGCCTTGCTTCATCAGCTGACATACTCAGTACATCCTATTCGGTATCAGCTCTCTTACTTTTTCTAGATTACTTCAAAAGGAAGAGTAAAAGTACTCGGAACACAAGAGCGAAGGTTTTCATGATTCTGGAGGGATGTAGAGATTTTACCTAGAAGTTGAATACTCCAATGAAGGTATAAATAAATTAGTACAAGTACTCTGGAATAACTAGATTCAATAGTTTTCACGCTTGCTATCCGTAAAATGTCCTGAATGTCTTGTTATAAATTCAGTTCACCGAGATCTCAAAAGCAACTAGAAATCTGTCATCATAGACCAGTCTATCCCCCACAAAATTATCCACAGACACTTCACTAGCTGCAGGTGCTAACCAAACAGACAACAATGCTTTGATGTGTGAGGACTTTTTTTAAATTTTCAGTGAGAAACAAATTTTAGCATAATTTCCTATTAATGGAATGACAACGGATTATGAGCTGCTGTGGAAATTCCTTTATACTAAACCCAAATCAATCTTTAGATAATAATGCAAGAAAATTAAGAATGCACAAACGTTTTTCTACTAAAGATAATATTTCTGTGGTTTACATGGGAATAAATTTATTTTTGTGTGGATTGCTTAATTTAGTTGGTTTATCAAGACTAGAATTTATAACACTAGGCAACAGAATTGCAGTAGAAAAAAATATTTCAAATAGCTTTTCTTCAGCATTTCACAGTTGTTCTTTCAAATCAGCTTTTCAGACAGGCAGCCAGAGTAGCTGTCTAACAAACTCCGAAGGAGTTCAGCACCTTTACTATTAGGCATCAAGTCTTTTCCTGCATTAACCGCCAGTGACACTGAGGTGCCAGTTCCTTGTGTGACGCATCACTAATGCCCTGTGGTGAAGTGTCTTGGTAAAGACTATGACTACTTGATGTGCTGCACACACGGATTATACAATGAAGACATTATCAGGCCTCAGTGCTCACACTGCTGTTGGTCCAAGTTTGGACTTGATAAAATTTGGGGTGTTCTTCTAAGGGAGGGGCTGATGACTAAGCAAAGAGCTGATTTAGGCGGCCGGCTGTAGCGCAACAGAACGGAAAAGAGAACCGATCTCCTTTGAGACTGCAGAAAATATCCGCCCGATTCCATGGATATCACCCACAAGTCATCATTCAATCTGCTTCTGACCACAGGGTACCTCGTGTTCAACAACCACACCTAGAATCAATCCTTGCTGAAAAAAATGAGTGAGAGAGCTTTGCCAGAAGAAGGTTGGGGTGCCACGGAAGGCTTCTGGATCAACTGCCTTTCCATTAACGCACTGAAATACTCCTGTGTAACGCGTTGGTGCTGCCGCTGCCCAGAGCGCACAGGCTTCTCTTCAGAGCTTACAAATGCTTTGCCTCTTGTTCAAGACCTCTGTGGAGTAGCACATCTATGGGTTTCAATGCAACTGTTCATTGTGGGAATATGTGGGAGGCAAAAAAAAAAAAAAAAATCCGCAGTATGCGGAGTGCAGGATGGGGCAAGTTCAGAGACAGCTCTGCTAGCTCCCGCTGCCTCTGTTTTGTGGGCAATTAAACATTTCCTATGCATACAGCTCAGGAAGTGCCAGCTGAAAATACACAATATTTATAAGCAGTCTGTCGGAAACGGGGATCTTGTAACACAAATTAACAGAAAAAAAAATAATCCAGATATTCTCTCAACTGAGGTTTCACCATGTGTCTCAGTGTGTTGCTCCTATTCTGACAGACATCCAAAGGCATCTGTAAAGCAAAGCCTTGGTGCACAGGAGGCACTACAGGGAGAGAAGTTGGGGGGAAAAAAAAAGAGAAACAGAAAGAAGCCAAGGTTTGCCATAAGGTTCTCATTTGTATCTCTAAAGTTAACCACAAGGTGGAAAGACCATCCTTGAACTATATTAACGTTAGCTAGAAGAACAGATGGATAAAAGGGGTTGATCAAAAAAATTCTATAATCAAATGTTCCTAGAGTAAGGAAAGTTATAAATGTGGTGTTACCAAAAAATAGGGAATGATCCAGGAGACACAGGGACGCCAGCATGTCCTAACCCAACGTCTGGTGTCACTCAGAGGATTTGTATTCAAACAGCATAAACTAACGTTGCAGTTGTTTTCCATGTTTGTAGGAGAACATGGAGGGTTGAAAAGTAAATTACTACTGGACGTGGATTATGAAAAGCAGATTTAAAAAAAAAAGTATATAACCAAACAAGAGAAATCTTTAAAAGCACAGTTTTTAAAGCATTTGGAAAATAACTACATTGGTGATAGAGTAGTAAAAACATGGGTTATCGATCCCAAAAATTGAGTATATGGTAGCCTTGTATTTTACAGAGCTGTTTATCTGCAGGGGTCACAGCCCAGGTGTGCAGAGCTCTTGCTGACAACCACCTAGACCTCTGCATCCTGTGGGGAAGCATCCTCGAGGGGACAAGAGGAGAACCGCCAATGAATATTTGGTTCTATCAGCAGTTACCTGATTACTGAACGCAGTAACTGGCGCTGCACTGCCGAGGACTTGATGCTTAGCTCTGAATAACAGCTTTTAGGAACATTTCCACTGAAAATGGTAAAGATGTACGCTACACTATCTAGGACACTAATTGCTTAGAGCAGTTGTTGGGAAAAGAGCATTTACCAGCATCGTGCCTGCACAGTTCAAGGTTACTGCTCTAGACCGTGTTTTACTTACGTGTTAGTGTGTGTGAAGTACCCACCCTCCTGATTTGAGGACCACAATTTAATGTTCTTTGCTACAAAATTAAACGAAATCAACACCCCCCAAATAAAATCTAGGCATTGATAAAAACAGAAAACAGAATGACATCAGTGGTCTACCACTAGTGGAAGGGTCATCAAGGCTATAATGCTTGAGCAGATGGAGTTTGTAGGTTGGAGCTTTGTGAGTTCGCAAAGTTTTAAGTTACATGGCCTGAGCCTAGTGGTCTGTCGGAAACTGCTCTGCCTGTACTGACCTTAACGGCTCCGGGCACTGCAGTTCTCTCAGATCTTTAAGTAGCAGCAGGGTCCACCACAGGACCCGGTGCTGCTCTCATGGTCTAACTGTCAGGTTTGAAAACTCCGTGACAGAAGGCACTTCAGGACGGCACCCTCCACATTTACAGCCAATACAAAGCTAACACCCTTACCAAAGCAGCTCCTCATCCCTGGTTCTGATTAAAACATCTTTACTTACGATCTAACTATAGAAATTCAAGAGTTGTTGGACGGAGCACACTTTTTAATACTCAAAAATATTTTTATTCATCAAAATAGTCACTTGTAGGTCGCAGTTTCAGGTACAGCAAAGGATAAAAATGCAAAATATGAAAAGCCTTTGTGCTGTTGGTTTGAAGCCACAGTTTCAGAGGAAATTTTGAATCAAGCCAAGTGCCAGATTTCCCCTTTACCTTGCTATTAAAAAATATCTACTATTTTCAATCACTGTCTAGAGTTTCCCAGCAATGAGTCAGGTCATGACACTTTGAAATGCAGCCATTTCATGTATTGACCTTACGGCTGCGTTGGGCTGCCTGTAGCAGTTCAGCAGCCACTGCTTGAATCAAGTTGTTGTTTCCTGTGACCCAGAATCTAAACTCTAATTAAAAAAAGAGATCTTCTAATCTTGTCTTTCAAAAAAGGAACATTAAGAAAAGACTGAGGATCTTCAGAGTATTGTAGAAGAATTGTGTCGTTTACCTCAAGCCACCTCATTAGAGAGCAGAAAGTCTTTTTTTGATAGCACAAAGCTATCAAAAATCAACCTCTCCTTGTATTTAGAATAAAGGCAATGACTGTAACAATCTAATTTGAGATCATAAATAGTAACCTCAATTTACCACAAATGAAAACTAAAATTCACCAAAAGTACTCCATTGCAAATACATCTCTCAGAAACCCAACTGACTGGCAACCACTGTTTTAGCAGCTGTGGGGGGTCTCACTGGCTTTCAGAAACACTTAGCAGGGTCCAAATTTTTGAACATTTCACAGAATGTGTCTCATGATTCATCAGCTGCACTCTGACTAATTGGCAGAGGGCTCTGGCAGAACCAGAAAACTGTTTATGCATCATTCAAAAGACTTTATTATTCATCATGCAAAAAGTTGTTGGGTTTTTTCCCCCTCCTCAAGTGGCTGCGTATTTACTTAGCCGGGGATTAACACTGTTATGCAACAGCCCGACTCAAACTTGGGAGTGAATAGTAGGTACTAAACCTTTCAGGAGATATTTTTTTTCAAAGCACCGCTCCCTCTCTGCTCTGCCTCCCCCGGGGCGTGTGTTCTTCCAGCACAAACCTGGCAGCCGATCGATAGACTGCGCACGCACAGGAATGCGCAGGGCACCGGTTCCAGTTTTCCATTTCACTATCTCTACAGCTTGCTAGGTTCCTCTTTGGAAAAAAAAAAAAAAAGGGTGGCAAATTGAATCTTTAACTTGAAATTAGACTTAGATGCTACATAATAGGACAAAATCTTCAGAGTCCTAGTGTCTTCGAGGACCAGGTTTCCTTGTGTAAAGCTCTCAAAGGAGGCGTCTTTTATATTGTCACCTCCAGGTTTTTTAGATGTGTTATAAACGCCTCAAAAATTCATTGCAACCCAGGACACCTGTGACACTCAAAAACAAATAAGGAGAATATTCTGGGGGGTTTTTGTTCGTTTTCTTAAACTTTCTACATTGGGCACCGCTTTTGGAAGAACCAGGAGAGATTTAAGGCTCAAGAGAGTAACCAGTGAAACAACGGGAGGCTGTGACAGTAATCAGCACACACCAGCATGGGTATCGCCAGATTAAAATAAAGTGAAATGAAAGCAGCATACGGAAAACACAGACCGCAGTTGCATTTTCAATTCACTACAGATAACCTCTTGAAAAATGAAAAGCCTATTTTTAGCACGATGATTGATTAGTGTTGCCATAGCAATAAGCAACACTTACAAGA